CAGTATGTATGGCAAGTAGCCAAAAATATGAGGCAAGCATTTTCCACAGAAATGTTTTTGAGGAAGCTATCGCTGGACAGGAACTTTTCTGTTGCTCAGAGCTTAATTTGTTTAGTTATTCAGTGTGCTTTTGTTGCACTCTCTAGTCCTTACTGAGTTTTAAGTCATGCTAAGTCATGTTGCCAACTCCAGAATGTTCATAAAACATTTTTGTGGATAGTCTGCTCATGTACATAATACAAATTTAGTCAAGGTATCAATTTAATACATAGGTGCCAAAAATGCATTTATTTGAAGAAAGCTCCTTACTCTTCTTGCAATATTAGTAGAAAGATCATGGATGTTAATTTGTATCAGTAGCCAGCATGTGTTATGCATTGTATTTCTTGGAGTTACACTTTGCTTTACGTGGTGTCAAGCTGTTGAGAGCTGGTGCTTTTTTAGTTTTCTTATAAATTTGTGCTTCACTATTCCATACAGGAATTATCAAGAATTAGCCATTGAACTAGTTTGGTACTTGCTGCAGTTCTCACATCTGAAAATACTGGCTCCTTTTTGTCACTGAGGAATTCCTGAAAAGATATGTGTTTTGGTATTTCTTCAGCTCATCTCACAGTAGAAGTATTTTAGTAGTGCTGCATGTTTTCAGCTGGAAAGGGATTTTTTTTTCTTTTAAAATTAAATAAAAAGCTTAATCACAATCGAAAGACCATGTAAACCTGTACAGTTCCTCCATCAGCTGTGTTGACTGGAAAACATCGTCAAAAAAAAACCATATGGTTATTRACTTAACCATGCTATGGGTATGGTGAGAGTGAGTCTTACTCCATTTCAAAACTCTGATAGGTAAGATACATCTCTGGTACTAGATACTTTTGCTTGAATTTCCTTTCTTTCTAATTTTCAGTTAAGAGGTAGTTATTTTTAAGGGTCTGAATAGTTCTTACCAAATGGACTGATTTCTGATGCTGCATATTGCCAAAACCATCAGGTTAAGGAGAAGTTTTGAATWGGGAAGAACTGCTCTATAGCATCAGGCAAGACCAACCTCCTGTGGTTTGGCCAATACTTAAGGGTATCACACAATACCTTTTTCAATGAATTGCAACAATTAAATCCTGTGGAAAAAGCTTCCTTTGTCATCTGAAAAATGTTTTGGTAGCTTCATTCTGGGACTCTTAACTGAAAAACAGAGTATGCTTTAGAGCATCTARAGCTGCTGAGGATGGCAGAACGGATATTCCTCAGAGCCTAATTTCCACATTCACTGATACACAGGACCATTTTCCTCAAAAGGTTTAGAGCTGCAGACAGATTTTTATCTTAGTCTGAATAAAAAATAAAATAAACTTAAGATTCCAAATAGTTCAAACTAAGTCAGTCAGCTTTTTTCAGCACTCTCTAGCTATCCTAGGGATACTAAGTAAWTTCGCGGATGATACAAAACTGGGAGGAGCTGTTGACTCCCTCGAGGGCAGGGAAACCCTGCAGAGGGACCTCTACAGATTAGAGGGCTGGAAAATCAGCAACCATAGGAAGTTCAACCTAGGAGAGTGCCAGATTCTGCAACCCTGGATGTGTGAACAGTCTGGGGAATGRCATGCTGGAAAGCAGTGCCAYAGAAAGGGACCTGGGGGTCCTGGTCRATGGCAAGTTGAACATGAGCCAGGAGGGCCAACCCTGTCCTGGGGGGCATCAGGCACAGCATTGCCAGCCGGGAAAGGGAGGGGATTGTCCTGCTCTGTTCTGACCTGGGYGGCCTTGCCTGGAGTGCTGGGGGCAGTTTTGGACCCTACAGTGTAAGAAAGACGCTAAGCTATTAGCATTGAAAGGAGATCTACAAAGATGGTGAAGGGCCTTGAGGGGAAGCCGTATGAGGRGTTGCTGAGGTCACTTGGTCTGTTCAGCTCGAAGAAGAGGAGACTGAGGGGAGTGATCAGTGCAGTTACAACTTTCTCGTGAGGGGAAGAGAAGGGGCAGACACTGRTCTCTTCTCTGTGGTGCCTGAGCCTGAGGGAATAGCCTGAAGCTGTGCCAGGGGTGGTTTAGATTGSATATTAGAAAAAGGTTTTCCACCTGTAGGGTGATTGCGCACTGGAACAGGCTCCCCAGGGYGGTGGTCACAGCCCCAAGCTTGTGTTCAAGAGTTCAAGAAGCGTTGGACAATGCTCTCRTGCACATGGTGTGACTCATGGGGATGGTTCTGTGCAGGGACATGAGTTGGACTCAGCGATCCTTGTGGGACCCTTCCAACTCAGTTCATTCTGTGGTCCTTCATTTATCTGAGGAAGGTATACTGCTCGGTTCATTGCTCCCTGCTGTCTGCAGAAGGATTGAAATGCAAGGTTTCAAGCGAGGTCCTTGTAATGTCTAAATTTCAACATTGCTCACTTCCATTCTGTTATAGTTATTGGAAATTACTAGTTATATTAAGAGATTATTTCTGTCAGTGCTGAGATGCTCTGACACAGGTGTGAAAACTTTGTAGGCAGTAAAGAACTCCCTCGCTTGCACCTTGCTGCTTCTTCCAGTGTCTGCTGAAAATGCCAGCCAAGTGGATGTTGCATTGGTGAAGTGAATCTATCACTGTTCCTGATGCAGATATTTCTTCGTGAGCAAAAGATACTTTTATCAAAGAATAACTTCCTCTGTATTCATACCCTCCAAGACAGRCATTGTATCAGCTTGCTTTCTCAAGCAAAGATATTAAAGATGGAGAGAGCTTCCTATGGGAATTAGAAGGAATGAATSTATCATAGCAGGTCTCATCTTGCTTTCTGAAATAATACTATTGTGTCTATGTGTATCGTCCCTCTGTTTTAAAAATGGAAAGAAAAAAAGTGATGTAATTTGGGGGGAGGTGACTAGGGAAATCAGATTTCAAGACAGGGAGCATAAAATTCACTGTAGTTATGAGGAATCTGCTCTTTTCAGCAGGTTTGGAGGATATATTTCCATATGTAGGATTTTCAGCATGTCAATGATCATTTGCTTTGGAAGAACAGTTCCCTCAGTACAAGTACTTGAATTTTAATTTGTGTACTGATTGTCGGTGTGGTAGAGCTATTTTTCTTTGTAACAGTTCCTCTGGTGATATGTTTTTCGTATTTGTGGTGAAAATAGTGTTGATAACCTGGGGATGGTTTTGTTATTGTTGAGCAGTGCTTACATGAAGTCAAGGTCTTTTCTGCTCCTCACCAGACCCCACCAGTGATGAGGCTGGGAGTGCACAAGGAATTGGAAGGGGACACAGCTGGGGCAGCTCACCCCAGCTGACCCAAGGGATATCCCACATCATATGATGTCATACACAGCATATAAAGCCATGAGAATATGGAGGAATGGGGGGACGTTTGGGTTCCCAAGTCAACCTTGTATGTGATGGAGCCCTGCTTTCCTGGGGATGACTGAACTGCCTGCTCATGGGAAGTGATGAATGAATTCCTTGCTTTGCTTGTGTGCATGATTTTTGCTTTACGTGTTGAACTGTCTTCACCTCAACCCGTGAATGGTCTCAATTTTCTCTTTCTGATTTTTTCCCCCATTTCATGTGGGGGGCAGTGAGCGAGCAGATGTGTGGGACTTGGCTGCCTATTGGCATTATACCATGACATTTAGTAATAGCTCTACTGGAGTTTATTAAAATGCTGTAGTGTTAGTAGCAGCACTTGGGGAAAGGATTCAGGATAAACTGCTTGGATAACTTCCTTTAGAGTCAGAGATCTGGAAAAAGCAGTTAACTTTTTCWTGTTAAATGGGTTATTTCTGTCTCGTTTCTTTAACTGAAGAGGGTAATTGTGGCTTTTTATCTTTCTAGCTGTAGACTAACCTGGCAAGGGAATCTTATGAAAACACTTGTTTGTGTGTCTGGGAACTGTAGTCGTAACCCATAACACAGCATTCTCCCACATAGTTAGGTATTTGCATGAGAAAGCGTAGTTGCCAGGTACGTTGGAGGTACAGTTTATTTATCAGGGACTGGTGATTCAAGGATTAAGGTGTTTTTTCCATTTGTGAAGTAATTTATTGACAAGTTATATGATGATAAAACRTTTTTCTGCTAAGCTGCAGTAAGACGTATTCTTCTTACAACAATTTCAGTCTTTTTCTCTTGACAGAATTATTGTACTATGAATTTTCAGAATGCTGCTTGTGTGGTGTCCACAGAATGTATTTTAAATTGAAAGTTTAAATAAGATGTGTTTCTCCAAATCTCTTTTTTTTCACCCAGCAGACTGCAATATCTCTTTGACCACATAGAATTCATGAAACCAGGGATGTTGCTTTGCAATATATAAAAACGTTCTTGATAATACTTTCTATTTTAGTATAATATAACTTTTAAAGTGATTGAAATATACATATATATATAAAAGATAATGGTTTTGTTAATGAATAGATTATTTGCATATATTCCTTTAATCAAATTATATTTTCATTTGGCTAACTAGTAGCAGATTGTCAGTGTCGTCAGAAATGGGCCCATAAGAAGAAGAGGCGTATAAGAATACTGATAATTCTGTAGAAATAACTGGGTTACCATGTGTTTCTGCTGCTGCCTACTTCTAGCTTTTCTGTGTGATTAAGTTGTTGTAGCTTACTGATTTTAATGAGTAATTCAATTGCAGTGCCTCTGTRCCAGAAGAGACCTGCATTTTGAGCAGCCTTATAACACTTGTATAGGAAGATACTTGTTTTAAAAATTAATGTGCCTTTAGTCTGTAAATATACTGTATTAATTTATTGCCAAAAGGTAGTCAAATAGAAGATTTTAACCTTGCTAGTGAACTCTGGGTTTAAAGCTGATTGTCTGACTCAAGTTTTGAACTTATATATTATTTTCAGTTTCACCTGTAAGAGATAGGAACTACTAAAACCAAAATTCGATGGAATGTGAGGATAACAGTCTCATGTCAATTAGTTGTTGGGATTTTTAAGTCTTAAAATACTTTTAAAACACTTTATTTCTTCCTGTTAAAAAAAGTTTTCTTATCCTGCAGTGTTCTTAGCGAAATTACTGAAACGACTCTATGGTGAAACTTCATCTTCTCTTGTTCATACTTCAAGTAGAGAAGAGGAGGTGGTTCTTGAAAATCTTGGATCAAAATCTGAAGAAAAGAATTTGGATAATGTTCAGACTTCAACAGCAGATGCTAGYGCATCAACTAATACACCATGCAAATCATTTCAAGGTGAGACTGCATTGTCCTTTTTCAGATAATATGTTTTGAAATATGGCTGCTTTTTTTCAGAACAGTATAGTATGTCGTTTTTTTTGCTCTTGGTACCAACAGATGAATTTGAATACTAGAGTTAGTGGYATTTAATACCTAGTATGCTTGAGGTCAGTGCATATGTCCTATGAAAACCAAGAAATAGTCTTGGTGTATATGCATGGATGCAACATCTAGTAGTAGCAAATATGAAAATTCAGTGTAAGCTATAACTGTCTCAGGTGYAGTGTCTGTTAAGCAATGATAAAATGATTTCTACTTGTACAGCTCCACTCAGCTGTTAGAAATACACATGGGGAACACAAATCCAACAGAAGGCAAATACTAATTCAGAGACTATGTTAGTACCTTGCAAAAGAGCTTTATTTTGTGTGTGTTTATGCAGTGAACATGGCACATTAATATTTGAACAGGTAGGTAAAAGTCCTTTTTCCAAATAAATTGTAGAATGTGAATGGTGTGCCAAAAGATGGAGCTGAAAAATCAGGTAGCTGTGGTATTACTTGTGGGTGAAAGGCACTGTGCACAAGTATAAGAATGAGTGTGAATTGCTTTGTATTCCTCTGAAACCAAATTTTGCCATAACTAAAAGGTTGTTACACTGACTTGAAATAGAAAGATGTGTTTCCCAAGAGTATAAAAAGCTTTCTGCTGGGAAGATCCTCAGATATCCTTACTTGCACAAACGGAAGAACTAATAGTGGATGTGATCTGGGGCCAGAGAGTAAAGTCCAGGAAAAAGTGAGCAGGATGAGTAGTATGTTTAGAACCCAATGCTACATAATAACAGGTGTTTGTCTTGTTCAGGGACATGCTTGGTAGGATTTATTGGAGGATTGGTCTGAATTGCAAGGGAGCTCTGAAGGGCTGGTTGTCTTCAAGAATAAYCTCTCAAAGCACAAGAATGGCTTATTTTGACAGACAGAAAACCAAGCAAGTGTGGCAGATGCCTGATTGAGCTCAGATGTGTCTGGCAGCAGCAAAGGGAAGGTGAGGAAGGTTAGCTGGGACAAGGCAGGCACAAGAGCTGTGTGATCACTGTGGAAGCAGTCCCATAGTGCCTGACAAAGCAGAGCAGGACATGCCTGTTAACAGTAACCAGGTTCAACCAACACTCCAGTGACTCAGGACAATAGTGATAAGGCAAGTCTGAGGTCAAGGCAGTATGTAAAGGCTGTGAGTCAGAGTGCATCAGTTGCACTGAAATATCCCTCTGGTCAGTTTGGGTCACCTGTCCCACCTGTGACTCTTTCCAGCCTCCCTCTCACCCCCAGCTTCCTCCCAAGGTGGCAGCACAAAAAAGCAGGAAAGGCCTTGGCTCTGTGTAATCCCTGCTCAGCAATAACAGAAACATCTCCATATTACCAACCGTGTGTTCAGCACAAACCCAAAACACAGCCCATACCAGCAGCCGTAAGGACAATTAACTGTACCCCAGAGAAACCAGCACACCATTACTGTAATAGAAGATTGCATGGAAATTGCAACTTCTGTAGTCCCATTTRTTTTAGACTTGATTTGGTTTTCTAGATTAGTACTTCTGGTACTGCTTTTGTGTAATCAGTAATGAAGGGCATATTTTCAAAAGGTTGAAGCATTAAACTTACTATGATATGTGATAGCTGTGGGAACAAATTGTCATTTTAAAATAGATAACAGGCAATTCATTTGCTTTTGCAAATAAATTCATTTGCTTCTGATGAAGGTGTGCTAAATATGCATGACTATGGAGTAATTTCTTAAGCTGAAACTGCYTTCATTTTTAGTGAATCTATACCATTCTGTATAAATTAGGGCCTGGCAAAACTCCTGCTGAAATGGGAKGTGAGTGGGATAATTTATTTGACCTTATGATTTATAACTCCCCTGATTTTATACCTGATTCCTGATGGAATGTTCTTCAAGGTAAGGAAAGAAAAGCTTTTTTATTCAGAATCCTAATACAGGTAAGATAGAGCTTATAGGATGGGAAACCTGGAGTAAAGAGACCAGGTCTGTATTTAGGATTTTGACAGCAGAGCAACAAGAATGTTTTTGAAATTAACAGCAAACTGTAACTGAGTTTGTTTTCTGTTGGAGGCATGCAGATGCCACAGTAATACAGAAGGGGTTCTGCTGTGATTCAAATTTACATATAAGTACTTAAAAAAAACCAACAAAAAAGGTAGACTTGAAGGAAGGCTCATAGGAAAAAAAGATAAATAAATTACCCATCTGGGAAACCAACAGACAACCATTCTTTTCTGGTTGTGATTTTATTTAAATTTAAGGAGCTCTTGCATTTATATGTGGTTTTATAGCATTGGACACTGAAAGTACATGTTTAGAGATAGGCTAGAAGGTGTGAGCTATAAACTCTGGCCTTGGTGAAGGAAGAACACAAAAGCAGTGATTGAATTTTTTGATCATGAACTGTTTTAAGTCAATTCTTACTTACAGACCTTACTTASAGACTTACTTAAAGATTGTGGGCATAACTAGAAGACAGCTGATGATTTAAGAAGCAATAGTCAAAGATGAGTAATTGAAAGCAACAATGGAAAATAAGGGATTTTTTTTGTGAATATTAACGCTTTCCTAGGCTGAAAGTGATTATTTCAGTCCTACAAAATACTGCTAAAAATTATCTAGGGTCAGTAAAAAGTTGGGGATTTCTCTAAAAAATAAATTTAGTTTTAAGTATTTTCTAGCATTCAATAACAGGTTTTACTGTAAAACTTATCACAATGTCCTATTTGCCTTTAACAGTTATTCTCAGATTRGGAAAATACAATTAGCAATTTGTCTGAGTTAAACTGCCATCATCAGCTAAGCCATCCTGCAAGATTCTGATCTTTATTGGAATAAAGTTTGCAGCATCGCCTTTAAATTTTATGGACACATCTCTGTTGTGCTTGCAGATGCAAGCTTTTAAGATCATAGTTTTATATCCTGTAAATATTTGCATTCATATGCCTTTTTTGAGACCAAGTTGAAGCTGAGATGCTTAAGGAGATGGGACATCAGGACATCAGGATAATTAATAATTTGGTATCAGAAAGGTTTATCCCATAAAACTCCTCACATAATTCAGGAACCAAAGCTTACAATAAGATTAAGAATAACTGGAGAAGGAAGGCAAATTCTGAGGGATACTATCCTTTGTAACTATARAGAAGCCTTCTGAATAGTATTTGCATTTTCTTCAGGAAGGCAGTAGTTCTGTTAGGGATGGAGAAAACCTGTGGAGGTGTCATGCTTCTGGACTCCAAGGGAGAGTAGTCATATCTTTTTTCTTGAAAAGAAAAATTTCTGATTTTTTTTTTAACCAAACAAACCAAAACAAAGCACTTGCTGTTCTACGGCATATATGGTAAGCTATACCTTCCCTCTTGATTACACTTTTCCTAAATCTGACTTTTCCCCATATTTTACCAAAATACTCAGTGAGAAAATGAATGTAACCAAGGTAGGGATTCCTATTCCCCAGGACAATTAGATAAGACTTTCTAAACATTTCTCTCCTTGAGGAACTTGGTCTATCAATTGTAGAAGCTGTAGTTCTTAATTTCAGAAGATRTAATAAAAGTTTTTTCTTTCCTCAGCATAAAATCGAAGAGGGTCTAGATTACCATCTTTATTACCTTAAACAATTTAAGTTGCACATATTTAATGAACCTGAGTCTTATAGCAAGCAAAGCATTAAAAGAGAGCAAATGGAAAGTTGAAAGCTACTACAAATAAGAGAACGTTTTCCCTAAACGAAGCATATTTTGTGAATATGCTTCCAAATGCTATATTAAAAATGCTTTAAAACTTGCTGTATCACAAGAAAAAAGTGTGCATTTCAAAACACAGATTGCTCACTTGGATATGGACTTTGGCTAAATTTTGTCCTGAGAATTGGTTTTGTTTATTTTTGACCCTTGTTAGGGCCAGATCTACTTGCTTACGGGATTAATAGAATGGAAAACATTTCTTGTGAATTGTACAGTTCTGTAATTTCTTTACTTTTTATTGATATTTTAAAACCTCACTGACTATTTTTAATAGCTTTGTAGTATGTACTCAAAAGAGACACATGTACTTATAACTAGAGATTTGCTAATTGTGGAATTGTCTTTTTCACAGAATCAGAGAATGGGTCATGTTAGAAGGGACCACAGTGGATCATTTGGTCCAACCTCCCTTCTCAAGCAGGGTMATCCTAGAGCACACCACACAGTATTTCACAATCTCTCTGGTGCTCAGTCATGTGAACAGTAAAGAAGTTATTCTTCATGCTCTTCATGGAATGTGAGAATGTGACATGGAACTTCCCAGGCATCAGTTTCTGCCCACTGCCTCTTATCCTATTTTTTGGCACCACCAAGAAGAGCCCGGAAACATCCTCTGACACCTCCCTTTAGATATCTGTAGTCATCTCAGTTATCTCTTCTCAAGGCTGAACAGACCCAGCTCCCTCAGCCTTTCCTAGTAAGAAGAAATGGCCTCCCTAGTCTCTGACCTTCTTCTATGTCAGAATTACCAATACTTTTAAAAGACTTGGGATTTACTGATCAATATTTAGCATAATTCTTATAAAAATGAAAATTTCGGAGTTGCTGAAGGATAATAGCGTTCAAATGAAAAGTATAGTATAGGTATAAAGTGTGCTGTGCCACTTCTGATTTTTGCATTTTCTTTAGTTCTGAAAAAGGAATTTGAAATGCAGAGAGCCTAGTGAGAGTTTTGGATCTTGTGGAGATGCCTGATTTGATCTTCTCCTTCATATATTTAAGTAGGAAATGATGAGGAATGTTACTACTAATAGGTTTTAGCTTTCTTAAAAAGCTGGAATCYATCTTATGCTATATAAATGGACAAAATGCAATTTACTCTATATTCATTAAATAGAAATGTGAATGTCTTATCCAATGTGACATTTCCTAGCATTGTTATCCTATATGAGGAATCCTTGTCGAAATTCAGTGCAGCTG